GGCAATGTTTCAACGACAGCAGTGCCTCCAACGGGAGAAGGACGAGGAGCCGACGCTCAAACCACCGTGTGTGAACGGAGATAACAGTGTTGTTCCATGTGTTGCGCGAGTTGTGCCGACAGTAGGGAGAGCGGGGCACGGGTAGAAAAACGACGTACTTACCGATGCAGCATGGCTGGGCGGAGTGCGATGAGCGAAAAATCCTCCTTGTTCAATCAACCGGAGAAGAACCATTGATGAAAAAAACAATACTCGTACATGTTGGCGCCTTTGACCATGGCTATCGTTTTTTTCGCTTTTCTCGCCTCTATCCTTGCGATGTCTCCCATTCATTGGCATGTTCGGCTGCCGTACTGACACGCCCCCCCCCCCCCCCCTCTTTTTTTTTTGCCGTCATCGCAGGTGGAGATATTGAACAAGAAGTTGATGAAGCTGGACCAGGCGTTCGAGAAACTCAACGCGTACCTCTAGATCGAGCGACTTGAATAACCAGCAGTACCGTATCCGGGCCGAAGGCGCGCTGGGGGGGGGGCGATCCAGCTGAGAACTTCGGGATTTCTCTCGGCCCACATATAGACAAGTAGGCAAAGAAATAGGGCCGATGCAAAGGCACTCTGCCTCCGACATCTCCATGTGTGCGAGATGCACCGCCCTTTTCCCTGATGCCGTAAAGAGGGGTCCGGTGCACACAGTTAGTCTCAGGGGGCACCGCGGAATGGCAGCGGCTCACCGGGGGGCCGGTTCCAGGGGGGCAAAGGAATCGCTACAGCAGTATTCCGCTACAAATTGAAGTGCTTGGCCGGACTATAGAACAGCAGATGGGGGACGACACGGCTGGTATGCCCAAAGTTTAGTTTTTTGTTGTGTGAAATAGTTCTTCTTGCTGGTTGCTGGCTGGCCACACCGCCCGTCACGTGTTGTTAGGTAGAGATAAAAGATGGCGTCGTTCGGAAAGAAGCGAAGCGTGTCCCCGTCCAAGGGGGCGGGGTTCTGAAACGATTGTTCGGGTGCACATGGAAACTGTTGCGGTGCCCCGTGGATCGGTGGTGCCGTGACATCAGATTCGGGAATTCGATAAGCAGACAAAATAGGCGAAGGATGTGTGGGAAGAGGTAGCATCCGTCTCTTTTTTTTTCGAGTAACCGCGCTCAGGCAGCCTCTGGTTCTCCATGCGCTCTGTAGACGTTTAGTTTGTGCGTGCTGCAGTCGCCGTTCTGTGTCGTGTCAAGAAACACACGGGGGGGGGTTCGGTAGAATGTACATGCAGGTGGGTCTGCCGCCTATGTTCGAAAATCGTCTCATCGCCCACATGCATGCGCGGGAGGCTAGCCGGAGGGAACAACAGCGTGTTTGTACGTTTGTGGGAACAAAAAAAATGTAGAACCGAGGAACCTGCTTGCCGAGATAATGGCACCAACGCCGCTCACCAAAAAAACATGGTTGGACAAATCTGCCCCATCCCAGCTCGGAGGTTTTCTATGAAGAGAGGAAAGGAAGAGCGGGTGCGGCGGAGCGCGAGAACCAGCTCATGACACTGCTGTTGGGTGTACTTGATTGCTTTCGCTGGTGGGCGATTCTGCGAGCGGGTGTTCGCGTTCCCCCTTGGTGAAGAAACGTGATGGTGTGGTACTGTAGGTTACCAGCCCATCATCTGCGCCACGCTATTCCGCATGCGCACTCCGCAGCAGAGCATTGATCGTGGTCAAGCACGAGTGAGTGTTTCCTTGTTGATTGTTTGGTCAAGGGTGGGGATGGTTCTCCCCACCCACTTTTCTCCAAGCAAGCAGTCCACCCTCTACAACTAGCTTACAGCAGTCCAAGACAGTGGTCAAGTTCACCTACGAAAAAACTTGGTCCGCACTCGATCTCAAACCCTTATTGGGGCTTCCTGCGCCAGCACCATGAAACCCAACACACATTTTCACCGGTTGACCCAATCTCGGGAAGCGAAAACGTTCCACACGCCTTACCCATAAAGGGCCGGTTGAACAAACAAGAAAAAGTTGTTTCCCCGAGGGGGTTTTCCATCACCACGTCGGCGTTGGGGGCAACGGAACGGCGACCTTCCCCACCGTCCACACCTCCTTCTCCCCGTTCCCGCCGCCGCCGCTTCCGTGGGCGTCGGCGCCGCCGCGGCTGCTGCTCCCTAGCGCCACGAAGCCGGTGTCGTTAGCCCTTTCGTCGTGCTGCTGCTTCCCGCGGCTCCTCAGGCACACGGTCACCTCCATCACGCCACCGACGCCGGCACTGCCGCCGCCGCCGCCGCCGCCGCCGCTAGCGGGGGAGTTAGCCGCGCCGCCGCCGTTGCGCGCGGTCGGCAGGGACGGTGGTGAGAATGCAGGCAGGTGAACCTGTGCGCGGAAGCAGAGGACGGTGCTGGAGTCGGCCGGGGCGCCGAACATTTCCGCCACCACCTTTGTCACCGCACGAAGAGAACGGTAAGGAGCGGGGGTCGGTTACGAGGGAAGGCGATATTGCGTGCAAAGAGACACGGGCGGGCGTAGGGCTTACCATCATCGTTCGCGAGGCCGTTCGCGGCTGTTTCGCGAACAGTCTGTCGAACGACGCCAAAAAAAAAGAGCAAAAACGAATCGGCAGGAGAAAACGTTCTTCAAGAGAACGGATGCGCGACGACGGCGGGCCAGAAAGACCGGTCCCGGTCTACAAGTATCGACAGTATCGACGAAGGCTCCGGAGAGGTGTCTAGAGCGGCCGCCACTGCTGGGATGGGCACAAACAACAGGCCGCTTTAAAGTAGCGAGCGCGGCGCGTTGTCGGGGCGGAGGGCGAACCCGACGAAAAAAAGGGTGATGAACCGTGTTCGCCCCGTGGCGAACCGGGTGAAAATGCCCTGTTGCTCATCGCACTCCTTCAGGCGTGCCGCATCCGATAGCACCCTGGCACGTGTCGCGGTTCTTCTGCAGTCACGGAAGAGCACAATGCTACCACCCCATCGGCAAACTGCACACGAGTTCGTCGACTCGTGAACAGCACAACGTCAAAAGAGAAGAGCGTCCAACGTTGTGGCAGAAGCCCCCCCAAGCTTACGAGGACAGCTGACAGATAATCTCGAGAGTTTATTCGCGACTAAATAGGCCGGCAAACATAGTCGGTGCTTGTCTTCGTGCTCCCAAGAGGTTGATTGTTCTCAAGTTTTCGCGCACCTCTTTGGACCATTTTCTAGTCGCCGCGGAGATCCCCCGCTTTGGGTCCCCCTGAGATCTCAGCGAATCCGCGCCCCCCCCGCTTGCGACAGCCGCAGGCGGCAGCTCGACCGAAATCTTCAAGACCACCTGTGTATTGCAGGCAACAGCGAAGACCACCACAGTTTAATGATGAGTCACCTCGCTCCTTCTCGATACTGGTACACAGCAGTGGTTCTCCTTCGAAACGGGTGAGGAAGCAGGCGCTGCCTACGATCTAACCCCCCCATCATCTCTCACCCACTGCATCTCAGTCCTCTACCACACCCGCCACTCTATCCTAAGGGAGAGATGCAGCATGTAGCACCGGCACGCTCCTCCCACGGATGCAGGAACCTTGGAGGCGCTACGAACTAATATCTAAAACACCGCATCCGGTCGGTACTTGTACACCACGAACAATTCGACACAATACGACAAAAGAAAACAACCCACCTCCGATACAGCAGGCAGGACCCCACCCGTCCCCCTGCCCCGACACACCGTACCCTGCAGCAGCCACACCCCGGCTCCTCCCGTCTGCCCGACGGCGTGCGAGCGCCAGATCCCGCCTGCGCCGACACCCGCCTGCCCGCTGGGGGTGGCGGCAGCAGCAGCAGCGAGCATCACTTCCTCCCGCACCAGCTGCGCCCACCAAGCTTCGGAGGCCGAAAAGGACAGGCTCGACGGGTTTCTCCTCGGACCGCCGCCGCCGGAGTTGGGGCAGCGCGAAGAGTGCGATAGCGGAGGCGACGACCCCGCCGCTGTCGAAACAGCCGGGGCGGCGGATATTAGCGGCAACCGGGGGCGGCGGGAGCGCTCCGCCTCCGCGACGTCGGCTCGAAGGCGGCACGACGGCCCGTAGTACCTCGCCCCAGCGCCGCCGTCCCTCCGCTGCCGCTTCTCCCCCACGCTCATGCCGCCGCCGCCGCCGCTCGGCTCGTCGGCGGTAGCCGCCATCGCAACAGGTGATGACGACAAAGGCGGCGGGAAATCGTCAAACGCCTGCTGGTGGGGGGGGGGCGGAGGTTGTCCTCCCCAAGGAGCACTGCCGGTGCCGTCGGCGGCAACGCCATCTGGACCCGTCAGGCTGGCCGCCGGGGCGGGGGGAAGAGCCGACAGGGCGACTCGAGGGGACACCCCCGTCCGGAAGAACGCTCTCGGTATCGGGAACGGGGTGCCGCGCACCGACTCCAGGATGCTCGAGAAGGCCACGCGCCTGAAAAGCACCGGAAGAATATCCCACAGGAAAAATACAACAACAACAAAAAGCACGGGTCAAGAAGGCGGTGGGTTCGAAAGACAGAAACAAGGAAGCAAAGAAAAAAACAGAGAAACAAACAAACAAACAAACAAACAAAGAACGAAACAAAGAACGAAACAAAGAAACAAGCACACTGGAGAGTCCAGCTACCTGCGGGGGGGACGAGGGAGCACGCGTTGGGCACATTTTTGGCCGTAGTAAACGGACCGTTCGTTCGGATAGATCTGACCACGGTGGTATATGGATGAAACCAGGTGTCAGGGGGCAAACAGCCAGGGTGCAACAGCGAACGCACCCGTTAATCAACAAAGACCAATCACACCACGAACACCAACAACGACAGCAACAGCAGTAGTCTTACCCGATAGAAGCCTTTGGAGGGTCCGAGAGTCCAAGCAGCCTTGAGCCGAGCAACCGCACGGCCTTCAACAGCGCGCCCTCAGTCTCGCCGCCTCCGACCCGATCCTCCTCCTCCTCTTCCGCCCCCGCGGCCACCAATCGCTCCAGCCAGCCCCTCCAGGTCTTCTTCTTGTTGCTGCCTGTTGTTGCGGCGACATGTTGTTGTGTCATGGGGGGGAGACAAACAACAACAGCAGTAATATATAATATGTGAAGTGGCGATTACGGTTGACCTTGTGGCCTTCTGGGGTAGGCGCGTGTTCACAGCAAGTTGTGATGGTTTATCTATCGACTACGCTGGCTGACGGTGGAGCCGGTGCCGCCGCTGCTGCGCACCGTCCACGTTCCGTTCATTTTCACTCGTTGCCGTAAACATTGTGAGAAACACATCACAGAGGTGAGTGAGCTCGCGGAGCCTCGCAAGGCAAAAGTCTCAAAGGGAAACACAGCTCCTACGATCTGCAGCAAAGCTGCCGTCTGTACCACACCGTTAGGCGAACATTCGTCGCCCATGCAGTGCCTGCGGCTCCACAGGGAGCTGATCTGTCCGTTGCGTGGACCCTCTGTCCCGCGCATCCATCTCCAAAACGAACATATCACAAGCTTTGGTGGATTAACAGCTGCCACCACTACCACCACCGCACCAACCAAAGGCACACACACACACAGTTCATGGCAGATAGAAAGTGTTTTGTGTTTTCAACCGCACTAAGACTGACGTCTTTTCATTGGTCAGCCGGCTAGCGCGGTCGATGCTAACAATAAAAAAAAAAAACACACACACACACACACACACACACTCGCACCTTTCTCCCTCGAACCCACAAAGACCGACTTTCCCTGGCTCAGCAGCGCGTCCGCAGCGATGGCGAGGAACAAGCAGAGGCAGGACGCCGCTCGGAGGGGCTCCGAAGTCGTCGACCCCGCACCCGGGGCGAAGCCCCTTAGGAGGCGGAAGTCCCTGGCCAGGCGGCGGAAGGCGGCGGGCAGGCGGCGGCAGCGCGCCTCCCTCCGGCTGTTGCGGGCGTACCGGTTGGTCCGCGTCGCCGAGAGGTCCTTGGGGTTGAGAGGCGACGGCGGGGGGCGGGGGTAGACACATGAGAAACATTGGAGCGTTTGAGACACGCAGTACGGTTCAGCAATGCAAAGCGTTTATTGCATCAAGAGTACCTGGCGTTCGCGATGCGCTGCGTCGCCAGAAAACGAAACAACTCAGACGACTACCGTGGGGGGGCCTCCTCTGTAGTGCCGGTATGTGCCAGGTCAGAACACCCACCACGCTATTCGGAGGCACCGGCAGAATGACCTGTGCCCGCCGAAAACAGCGGCATTGGCGCTGTTCGACCGGCACTACTGAGCCCACCCCACTGCATGCCCCACGAGCGGACAGCACACATCGGTGTACTCGACCTACGCTACAAAACAAGTGCAGGTCATGGCACACTCGCGTGCGTGGTTGTGCCCGTCAACGATCAAGACGCGCAGGCAACAACCAACGCGCCTTCTTGACCCAACCCCCGAAACCACCCTGGCGACAAAAGCCTTCCCAGAACAGACACATGACAGCGTCGTTGTCACCTGGCACATGCCCCAGCAGGCACCCAGCAGCCGCAGCAGCTCGGCGCGGGCTAGCAAGAACCCCCTCTGAAACGCGAACAAGTCGCCGCCGCCGCCGCCACGAAACACGCCAGCGACGCCGCCCTCACCCCCTTGGCCCGCCGCGGCAGCAGGGACAGACTGCGGTTGCACCGACGGTGACCGGCGGCCGTTTCCCCAGGGTCCTGCTGGCCGGCGGGGGATCGAAGCCAGCAACTCCGCGGCGAGCGCGGTCTCGTGAGCCGCACAGGCGTGCGCAGCAACCTAAGGGAAGCATGAAACGGGATAGCTTTGTCACGTGTGCATAGGACTCCGTCGCTATCTACGAGTAGCAACGAACGTTAACACGGGTACGTTTCTAGTCACCAGGCAGTAGAGAGAGAGAGAGAGAGAGAGAGAGAGAGAGAGAGGAAGGGAGGGAGGGAGGGGCGGTGGCGCACCCCCAGAAAAGTAACCGGGAAACCTTACGGGAAAGCAGAAAAATACTCGAGAGCAAAAAACATGTGTTATGATCGGAATGGACCGCAGAAAAAAAACTCAAAAGAAAAGGAAGGAAGCCGTTAACGAAACAACCAGCGTGGTACACCCCCAAGCACCCAGCAATCTACTCGGCACACTTAAATGCGAAGGATACTAAACCTCTAAATACCACAACACGCACGAACTCACCGGGTCGGGGGAACCCCCAAAGAACGCCTCCGCCGCGGAAACCTTTCCCAGCACCTCCGTCCACGCCCAGACCGTGTCAGAAGCCGGCAGCACCGCTCCCCCTCCCTTCCGTCGGCCCCCGTCCCGCAGCCTGCGCAGGCCGGCCCCTGCGGCCTCGAAAAACCCGTGAAGCATGCACTCCCGGCAGAGCACCAGCTGGAACCACGGGTCGAGGACGATCGGGTCGGTGCCCTCCGGCTCTGCCGGGCACCTCTTCCCCGCTTCTGCCCCTCCGCTTCCCGCGGCCGCGGTTCCGGGGTCATCTTCGCCTCCAGAGGCAGCAGCAGATGAAGGTGAACCGGCGTCGTTGTCACTAGCCAAGCCGCCGCCGCCGCCGCCGCCGCCGCCACCCATGGCTCCAACGAGCGCTGAGGACAGGGTGGACTGTCGGCTGAGCGAGCCTCTGTGGTGTCGCATGAGCGCGACGGCGATGCCCACGGCGGCCTGCGTGTGTGGGACGTTGTGGGTCGTCCCGTGAGCGGGCCGGCGACGGAGGGAGGGAGACATGGAGAGATGGAGAGAGGGGAGGAGGGAGTGAGGGGGTGGTCGAGTCTCATATGTCCACTCCTGTCACATAGGCAGGGATATCTCCCCTCAACACAAGAATGATGACCTGTTGTCGCTAATTGTTGCGCCAAAAATCTGATAACGGTATAGCTCTACGCAAGGCGATTGAGACGAACGAGAGAGACAAACTGCGAGAGACAACGGATTCAAAAGCGCAGTCCCCGCCAATAAATATCGTTCACATCTGCCACGGATGACTGCCGTCGTAGGCCAAAGGCGAGGGGACGAAAAGGATGGTCAAACCGACGAAATTCACTCGACCCCGAAACAACAAAAAGCAACCATGTACCGCACCCGCCGTTTCGTTCTCTCTCTCTCTCTCTCTCTCTCTCTCTCTCTCTCTCTCTCTCTCTCTCTTTCTCTCGCCTTCGGGTTATCGTCGCAAAACCGCCGTCCAAAGAGTAGCTCCCACAGCACCCTCTCCAGGTCGCCCAGTCTTTCGCCCCCCGCCCCCGCTCCCCCACCCCCACCCCCGCTCCCCTTGTCGTCACCCTCGCCGGCCCTCACCACGTGAGACACCAGCACCGCCAGTTCCACGGCAAGAGCTGACGTCGGAGGCACTCTCCGGAGACTCCTCGCGACGGCTAAGGCTACTCTTTGGCGCGGCCACGCGTGGACGGCGGCCAGCGCGCGCAGCTGCGGCAACAGCAGCCTCGCGCCCGCCGCTGCCGCCGGCCCGCCGCCGCTGATTCCCCTGGAAGACAGCAGGCGGAGCACGGGCAGCGAGGAGAGAACGCCATCCGCCGCGAACTCCGCCAGCGCCGCCAGGGCCTTGTCTCGCCGCGCGGCGGAGTCGCTGATGCCGCCGTCCGCCGGGTAGAACGGCGTCTCCCGGAAGGCGGCGCCGGAGTAGCTCACCAGCGACGACGCGCAAGCCAGCAGCAGCACGCTCGAGGAGGATAACGTAGACTTACAATCACGGCGACATCGTCGGGGAAGGCGGAGGGGACGTGCAGAGGCGGCAGAAGGCTTCAACCGCCGCGGTGGCGGAGC